GTCTTTTCCTCAGTACATTTGTACAATCAAAATATAAATATACAGTGATTCTAGTTAACAAGTTGTTTATCAATCCCTGACATTACATTCAGAAAGCATATACTTTCAACTTTCATTACAGGTACACTTACTAGTTATAGTCCAAAATAGTATGAAAATTGTTAAGTGACATAATTTTGTCATGAATTTTATGCCATGGATCACCCACCTGGAGATTATCAGCCCCCAGAAATCCCAAGGCTGCTCAGACAAGATGTACTTAGCATTCCACTAAGCTATTGTTATTTCAGGAAATAGTGTAAGGGAATTTTTGCTAAAACTCTCTTTATTACTTCATTTCTATAGGAGGCAATAATCCAGTCCTAATGAAATGGAAGCAATTTTGCTGGCCTGCCAAGCTATGTTTATTTCTTTCTACTTTCCAAAATAACTCATGAAAGAAATGAGAGCTTGATATTGGTGTTTGCTAGGAGGAAGCAACATCCTCGATGAGGAGCTGTAAAATGGGCAGGAGAGGCTTCGATAAGAAGAGGGTTTGCTTTGAGGGGGAAGCTCTACTTCAGATCAACCTGAATTAAGTAACTGGAAATTTTAAAGATATGAGTTCAAGTCCCATCCTTTGTGCCTGGCCCAGGAGAGTCTCTTGTGTTTATGTCTGTCTTACATATTTTCCTGTTGCTGTGGTGAAATACTGTGAGAAAGGAGAAAGAGTTCTGGCTCACAGTCCATGATGGCAGAGAAGTCAAGCAATGGGGCAATCATATATACAACCATGGAGTACAGACCAATGAACACGTGCATTCTGGCACTTGGGTCCTTTCTATACTTGCACAGTTCAGGAAGGGAATGGCCTGATCCATGACTATATGGATCTTTGAATAGCAATTACAGTAATCTAAATAACCCCCCATATTGCACAGAGGGCATTTTTGACTGATTCTAGATTTTGTCAAATTGACAAAAATAGTTATCATAATGCCTTATTACATCTTGCATCATATTAGTGAAAAAAACAGTTAGAATAGTATTTTTAATGTGGACTACAAAAACAAACCACATAGTGATATTATTACAGTGTTAATCACATGCAGCAGGGACAGGTGAAGCCTGAGAATCCTCCTTTTTCATTTTTTTATTTTTTGGTTTTTTAAAGCAGGATTTCTCTGTATAGCCCTAGCTGTCTTAGCAGTAGCTCTTGTAGACCAGGCTGGCCTCATACTCAGAGATCCTCCTGGCTCTGTCTCTCGAGTGCTGCAATTAAAAGCATGCACCACCACCACCCTGCTGAAACCTCTTTTTTAAATAAGCTTCTATTAATTCCAGTGCTGTGTGGCAAGCTGGCCACCAGAGACCAATGGGTGTGGCATTTTCCAGAGTGCTGTTTTAGAAGAATGGGTACCTGGGACTTTCTGTAGTGTCGGGGACAAGCCAAAGGTGATTTATTGTCTTCCCTCAACTCCTCTGATGTAGTTACTACCTTACTTATTGCAGGAGCCATGGCAAGTTTGCCAGGTTCCTGTTGTTCTGAGTGGTTTTCCAGATACATCATGGCACTTGCAGCTCGATGAAAGTCAGTGTTCCCGTGAAAATGAACATGTGACCCTGTGAATGTCCAGTAGCATGTTATACCTGTTTTCAAATACTTGCCTGTGTGTGAGAGGGTGGTAGAGGAGAGAAATATTTGCATAAAAAGTAAAATATGCCAATAATGAAGCAAACCACCATTTATGTCTTCAATGAAGAGTAAGCATTATAGGCAATGTGCTTTCTGAATGAATATTCGTGAGTACGAATTTACAAGATTACATGGAAACACTTCCTTGTAGGCTTTAGATTTTATCACTGATTTAAAAAAAAAAGAATACTTTTGTTTGGACACTCTAAGCTTTACTCCCTAGGAGGCAGTTGCCTAGACATTTAATCGTTAGATCTCATTGATCTCAATATGCAAATAAGCCATATAACAAAAGAATTGAGAAGTCATGTGCTACTCAGAGGTAAATGAAGTCAGTGAAAATAAGAGTGTTAGGATTGCTCAGTGTGGGTGTTACAGTCCTTTAATTCCAACACTCAGGAGGCAAAGGTTGGTGGATATCTGTGAGTACAAGGCCAATTTGGTCTACACCACAAGTTCCAGGAAAACAGGGCCTTAGGAAACAGAAAGAAAAGAGCCAGTAGTTGCAGACATGTTCTGAAGGGTTGTAACACGAGTTCTAATAGGTCTTAATAATAACAGCTCAGAGTCAGATATTAGGGGGTGAAAGCTGAAAGATCAGAGAAGCAACATGGTCAGCCACTAGAGCTCTTACTTCTATAAATTCCTCAGACTGAAGAGGCCCAGATCCTGTTTCCTCCAGCCTATAATATCCTTTCTCTGCTCAGCCATGTCACTTCCTGTCTGTGTGTACAGACCTCCAAACCACTGTGGTTGCTAGTGACTAGCTCCACACTGTGATATCTCCAGGCAGCTTTTATTTCTTAGAGTGTAAACAAGATATCACTGCAAAGTGTCACTGTGAAACATGCAGAAACTACATTTCTATCCTATAGGCAATTGAGAACATTAGATCAAGTTCTACTGAAAAACATTTTTGCAGTTTGTCAGCAGTGACACACCCTTCTACCATATTTCTGTGTCCTGAGCCACTGAGCAAAACAGACCTTAGTACTTTGATGATTCTTTCATATAGCTAAGAAGAGGCCTGGACTTTGTGTTAGGTAAGGCACTAATGGCCAAGAAAAACAAAGCTATGCAACAGGAATGATGACTTCTCTCAGACTTGGAGTGTGAATTCACTTTACACTCTTTGTTGTGTAAGAGACATGTTATATCCTAATCTATCCCCATGGCAATTAGCCCTGTATCTCAGTTGTTGAATCCTTCATCAACCTTAGAAAAAAACACATGTGCTCACTCCTGCACAAGTAAAAATATGAAGCATTACTCCTGTGAGGATTTTTCTCTCATGTGTTGCTGTCTTACAGATGCTAGAAGGATTACATAAAAGTAGTAAGTACAATTACTGGATGATAAGTCTTTAGTAGTTAGTATGCCTTGACAAACACAAATTTAGCTCAGCAACTTCTCTGCTCAGGTTTCGTCCTAGAAGGTTACTTAACGAGATCCTCACAAAGGCCAGCTAGCATCAATACACTCAAGAGGAACCCAGCAGTTTCCATGTTTAGGGCTAATGTCCTCATGGGGCTGCAGGTGCTGCTTCCTGGGCTCTAAACAAGGAGAACTTCTTTGGATGGAAAGCCTAGATGCTCTGATGACTCATCAGTGTGGGTGGCTGATATTGTTGGATGTTTTCTTGGGTTCAGCAAGGGAGTGAAGCACTCCCTGGCTATATCCCAGGAGTCTTGCTTGGCCAGGTTCTGAGTAGAGTTGCTCTGTTGCTTCCTGTGGTAACAACTGTTGGAACTAAACACCATTCTGACCCCACCACCTGACAATGGGCAGGGCATGCACAGTGACATGGCCATGTCATCATTACGGGTCTCAGTGCACATGATCGAGCTCCCCTTTTTAAGCTCATGACTTCATCCCTCCCCCAGATCGCTCTCAGCTCAGGCTGGCCAACCCCTAGCCCCCCTTTCTTCCTGTTCTACTAATAAACTCCAAGTGGGTTGGTTGACTCAAGGTTCATGTTTCATTACCGGTCGCTGCAGCAAAATAATAACAACAACAGGGAAGTTAATAGACACAGTTGGATGCAAGAGGTAAATTAGGCCGTGACTACAAGTCTAAGAGGACAAGGCTGGCCAAGGTTTTGGTGGAGAATATCAGGCTCCTTCATAAGACCCTGTGTTGGTGGTATTCCCCAAAAGTGCTGACCACTAGGATCTTGTGTAAACACCATGAATATTGCATAGACACAGCTGTGAACATTTGCATGTTGCAGCACTATGCTATGGATTACTGAAAAGTTTCCCTGGATTCTCTCAGGGCTTGTGAAAGCTGTAAGTTTCTCCCACAACAAATTCCTCAGATCTCTGTGGTACTAGTGAGAGTAACATGGTTATTGTAGCTTACCTTTCCTTATTTGGCTCAGCTGCAGGGACAAGACAATGGATGTTATTTGCTTGGTAGATCTTGTGGGAATTTATGTTCTGTGACATCTTGGCCTTGTCACTGTTTCACTCTGCCACTCAGGCTTAGGCTCTCCAGTGTAGTAAGACTGGTTCTTCTGCTAAGCATCCTCTCAGTGGAGGGATGTATTCCAGCCATCTGGGGATGTCCATTTTGTTGGATTGCTAAACTTGGATATATATTATTACTTACCCTCATTTCCTTTTATGAATTGTCTTAATATCATTTCTTTGTCAATGACAAACAGCAGTATTGAAAAGAAAGTGTTCCTTTCACCTCACAATTCTAGGTTACATTCCAACACAGTAGGCAAGAAGTTACAGCATCAGGAGTTTGAGAGAGCAGGTCATATCACATTCACAACCAAGAGAAGAGAGAAAGGACACATACATGCCCCTCCAAATCCAATCCCCCAGGCTCATCCCTGTCTGTGCAACAGAACTCCAGCTGCAGCTTCCCTTCCCTGTAATTCTCCCAAGCCTACATTTCCTGTGGATCCCACAGACCATACCCTCTCAAGCTCCCTTCCACTGCTCATGGCTTTATTCCAGCCCGTGCCTCCAGCTGGCACCCCCGCTAACCCACAGGTGTCACAGGGCAGAAAACCAGGTTAGCTGACTTTAGATCTCTTCTCCCTGTGTTCTGGAAGCTCCATCCACAGTCTCCTCCTCATCTCTGCAGCAGGAACACCGTGGCAGCCTTCCCTGCACCCTTGTTCCCACGTCCTGTGGGTCCCACAATTCTTCCTGTTCTAATTCCCTGCCTCCACCTGTTGCTTTGTCCCAGCTCTTTCTTTTTCTTTTTTAGTACTAAGACATACTCCGTTCCTACCAAGAGCTATTCCAGGTGTTGTGGAAAGATCATTTCCAAGGTTGACTCCTTGGCAAGCCTGAGGTGTAGAGGGTAAGTTTAATTAAGGCAAGAATCATGCGCACACATGAATAGTGGCTATTTCTCAATCTACATACACGCCCTGGCTGAAAGGAACTTTCAGTTTCAGTACCTGCGGAGGGTAGGAGTGGAAAGCCATGGCTGGTGAGTTTTCCCTATTGCTAAACGGGCTAGTCTGCTAAATAAGTCGTTTGGGAAGGAACCTTTCTGGAAGCTGTCATCAGCCTCTGCAGATACTTAGGAGAGCTGAATCTGGGGAAAGAGGAGACTGTGGGGAAGAAGTCTGCACACTAGAAAGCAAAGGCCAGGGCCAGAAAGGAAATGGCGCTTTGCTGGTATCTGGCTGGCATTTTGCAATCTTAACTATTACGTGGCCCTAGTCTGACAGAGGCAACCAGGGGAGTGACAGATATGGAGCCTGCAAAGGAGTATGGTTTATTGTTAGTTCTTTGTTTTATTAATCTGATTTGAGAACACGTGAAACCAGAATGAGTGTTTATGCTTCTTTAGTTCTAACAGAAAGATAGTAACTTGATACTCCTGCATTTCTCTATTGTGCAATGTTGAGGGGACACAGGCAGCAGAGATTAAAAAAAAGAAAGGGATAAGGAACGTACATGAAAGAGTCCTTTTACTCATTCAGTCTGAAAGAGGCCATGCCCTCTTTACAACATGAAAGGTGCATGTGGCTATTTTCAGGACTTGAGAAATCTTTGTGTCTTAAACAGACAACATCCTCAAGGCAAAGAGGAAGCAGTTCATCCGTTCAGTGGGTGCAGGGACAATAAATGGCTTGCTGGATGAACTTTTGGAGAAGAAAGTGCTGAACCAGGAAGAGATGGAGAGAATAAAATTTGTAAATGCCACTGTCATGGACAAAGCACGGGACCTGTGTGATTCTGTCACTAAAAAGGGGCCTCTAGCAAGCCAAATCTTTATCACTTACATTTGTAATGAAGACTGCTACCTGGCGGGAGTCCTGGAGCTCGAATCGGGTAAGAGCCTTATCAAAGACGATGCTGACAGTCAAAACCTTTTAATAACCAATGCCTGCTTCACGTATTTTTCATGTGATTTGAAGACAACTCCCTCACCTAAGATGCCAGAGTGCCATTGTAGTGTCAATGGCACTATTTGCATGTCTCGGGTCTCTGCTGCTCCTGTTCCTTTTGCCTGGTATCGTGTAGCTCACAGTGGCTGCAAACACGCTGTATAACCAAGGATCATCTTGTAATGGTGAATTAATTTCCTTCGTCTCTCTTCAGGTCCACCAGCTGAAAATTTCGTTAGAATGGACGATTCCCGGGGAGGATACTCTCCTTCCTCAGGTACACATGCTTGAATGTAAAGGCAAGAATGCCCTTTAGACCTGTATCCTTTTGACCATCATCTTCACAGGGTAAAGCAGCTTGAAGAGCTGTGAGTAACTCCCAGGCACTGATTCTTAGATTTTCCTCATCTTATCTACATATCTTGCTTGAACCACAGCAGTTCTTGTGGCCTCACCAACTATAACTACACTAAAACTTTCTGAGTTTGTACCTCAAGTCTTAACTACCTAGTTGGGTACCAAAGATTACCATTCAAGTGCCCAGTGCACATATTCCCGTCTCCTTTGGAAATGTATTTCCAAACACCCCCAAGGGTGAATTTCTCAGTCTTCCTCTTTCTACTTCTTTTCAGTTTTCGCTTCCTTAGCTAACCCTGACATCACTGGCAGTTGTTCAAATATGAAACTCAAAATGCATCCTTAGCATTTCTTTTCCTCTCTTGCCTACTCTCAGTGTGTGTTTTAAGTTTTAGTGGGTTCCCCTGTCATGTTCAATAGCACCTTATCACATACCTGTTATTTATAGCATTTTTATAGTTGTCAAATCACTCTACGGTTATCTGTGTCAACTGTAATTTTCTTGGTCATTAGAGAAATAGTTATCTCATGTCAATTGTACTCTAGGCATTGTTCTATAACATCTTCAAAAATAATATCTCTGAATTGAACTTGAATGAATAAATATTACATGAATATTTATTTAATACTATTTTTAACACAAAGCTACCAAAACTTAAGCATAACAATTATAATGCAAACCCTAATTAAGATGACATGGAAGTCAGTAAGAACGTCAGTATTCACAGTGGTTCTTGCATGATAGAAAGTTGTTCCTTATTCATGATGGTTATAAAAGTTATTCACAACAAACAAGTAGCTCTCTTCTATGCCAGAGATAGTCCACACTGTGTCTCACACACCTGCAAGAGACAGCACTAACAGAACTGTGCTTATACCCATCCTGTGAGGGTCTTTGGGAAGACTGTGAGAAGATTGTGCAAGAGTTTGTAACTCAGATTAGATGTGCCCCACCAAATACATGCATGTTTTCTACTGGCTGCCACTGATCACTCAGACAGAGGTCTGGAATGCTGATAACAAGGATAACTTTGTAGCTCAGGGGGGGCTGGATCTTACAGACTTGGTACAGATTCTGAGAGGATACAGTAAACCTTTACTGGAGGAAAAAGGCAAAATAACCTTAATTTACCCAATTTTAGAGGAAATATTTACACCCCAAATACCACATTAATATTTCAGTGGTCCTCAATAAAATGCCGCCTCCACATTATAGAAGCTAATAGATCAGCTCACACCAGACCCATTGTTGGTAATGTTAGTTTTGAATAAGCCTGTGTCTTCTTAAGAAATGACTAGCATTACATGTTGCAAGAGAGATTTTCCACCACAGTTCTGAAATAATTTCATCCAGAAGACAATGCTTTCCCTGAAATCAAAAAGTCAAGTGTTAAAAAAAACAACTCAATTATTCTCCTGAATCTATTAATGATTATTAATCCACATTTTATTATGTATTTCATGTGATGTGACATTTCTATATAATTGAACACTTTAATTACTCTAAAAGTATTTCTAATACAATAAATATTTGTTTAATTTGTTGTTGCTTTAGAATTACTTGTGCTGAAGCAAGACAACTTTCTCCAGTTAATGGGTATTTTACACATTTTCATACTGTATTTGCATTAACTAGTCCATATTCTTGTCTACAACCAACACGTTTTGATGATTTGGCCCAACTCGCTAAACATATAGCAATTTATCAAAATGCCTTTCAAAATTAATTTAAATCTCCTAATTTTAATTGCTTGGTTTCCACTCTTGAGGCTCCTAAATAAATTATTTCTATTTTGAAAATTACTAAGTGTACATCAAATTATTTAGGAGTATACCACTTGATTTGACATATTGAACTTGGGATTCAATAGGAGCCCCAGAAACTCATAGAAACTGTTTTTAAAATACCCCTTTATTGATTTGTGCAATCAATAAACAGTGACATGCATTCACAAAATTTGCACATTAATTTTAGCACTTACATTCTGCTCCACTTTCATTGTAGTAAATACATTCAGTGTTGTTCCTCCATTGGTTAATCTGCACATAGTGATTAATCTGACAAAGTGATTCCCAAGGGAGAGGACAAAGTATCATTTCTCAAAATTAGTGATGCCTACTAATGTGTATAAGTTAATAAAATAGGAAAGCATACTTTTAATTTTTTTCAATGTAATTAAATGAAATATATTTCCTACCACCCTCACCTAAAATCTCATCCTAGGCTTCAAATACTTTCTAAAATAAATACTAAACATTTTAATACTCCATGCTTTGTTATCTAACATATTTATCAAAATACTAATCCCAAAGTAGATCTCATATCACACTACTGGGGATCTCTGGCTAGCAATATGTTCGTTAGTAGTGGTGTGTATCTCATTCTACAGTATGTAATGAACTCATGTACCTCATCTGTCTTCACACATGATAAGACTGGAAGGGATTTGATGTGAGACCAACAGCCTTCAATACAACTGGATCATTTTTGTCTCTTACAGAAATAAAGGAAGAACAGAAAAAAGAAGATGGTGTATGTCCAGGACCAAGTGGGAGCCTCAAGCTATGCCCCTTAGAAACAGTCCAGAAGATACGGGACAAAAATCCTTCAGAGGTGCTGTGCACAGAATCCAGGATGGAGCAAGCTGAAAAATACTGAGGCTGTCCTGAAGGGTGGTGTTGCTTTGTCACAGCCAAGTTCATTACAGTGTCCCCAGAGACTCAATGAGTCACTTTGCCTTACATAAAGACCTCTACTCAAGATTTTTGGATTTTAGTCCAATTCCTTGATATACAATAATAGCAAAAGGAAATCAATGACTGACAGATGCTTACTGTGAGTCTAATATTACTCCATGCACTTGTATATATAATAAACCTGTTATCCTTCAAAACAACCCATTTTAGAGATTAAGAAACTGAGTCAAGTGTGGGTAAATATTATGTCTACAGTCAATAGAACTCGGAGGAATCAGTTTTACAATTTAGGGATCCCTAGCTTTGTTTTTCAAAATTACACTTTCAAAGTTAAGGGTAGATGCTCAGAGACCACCTGGGTATTCATAAATACTTTGGTGCTCCTGAATTAAGACTTAGTTCCCTTCCTGTTCTTAATCTAATTTTCACAGGTTTGATTTCTTGAAAGGATTAAAAGGAGAGAATTAGGAAGGATCATAAACACATAGAGTAGACATTAAACTAAACAAGGCTGTTCACTCAATCTGCCCCTCCTACAGATTTACCCAATAATGGATACATCTGTGCGTACACGTCTTGCTCTCATTATCTGCAACACGGAGTTTGACTATCTTCCAAGGAGGGACGGAGCTGATGTGGATGTCAGAGAAATGAAGTCACTACTGCAGGACCTGGGATATACTGTGAAAGAAAAAGAAAATCTCACAGCTCAGGTAAGATTTCTCAAAATATGGAAAAAGGCTCATGTCTTTGATACCATAGATGATACTAGAAAGCATGTTACAGTTGCAGAAAACAAACTAATGCTAGTTTGTAATGATGAAATCCTTTGCTGAGAAGCCACTGAAGATTACTATGCCTACCATATTCTACATTGCTTTAGCTAAAGTCTCCTGTAACATCTAATTGGAAAATATTTCTACCACCTCAATGACCTCAGCATGACTCTGTATGATCTTTATAGCCTTGATTTTCATAAGTGGAAAGTTAGAAATTTTCTTTTCCATGTCACTCATTTTCATGGAATTATTCAAGGACTCCCTTTACCATTTCTAGTGAAATCTCACAGTGAAATGATAGCTCCCCTAACATCACTGGTCTGTTCTCTTCCAGGAGATGACTAACGCAGTGCAGGAATTTGCTGGCTGCCCAGAGCACAGGACTTCGGACAGCACTTTTCTTATATTCATGTCCCATGGTATCCAGGAAGGAATATGTGGGAAGTCACATTCTGATAAAGTAGCAGATGTTTTAAAAGTTGACACTATCTTTCGCATGATGAACACTTTGAAGTGCCCAAGCTTGAAGGACAAGCCCAAAGTTATCATCATTCAGGCCTGCCGTGGAGGTGAGTGCTGGTGGTTTAAATAACAGGACATTCACAGTCTGACTTTATCATTTACATAGACGGAGTACTTTCCACTGTTTGGGGATTGATACCTAAATAGCAAACTACTATTGACTACTCAGTTAATTATGCACTCTGTAGATTGTATTTCAAATTTGTAGATATATGCTTCATTTTCCACTAGAGACTGTCACTATATCACTATCAACAATCAATGCATATATATATATATATATATGTGTGTGTGTGTGTGTATATATATATATATATATAATCTTTGGATGTTATTGGATTCCATTTAAAGACTAAGAGCTAAGAGAGAAAAGAATCACTGACCCATGGCCCACACATATATATTCACATTCATATATGTATATATGACTAAAAGTCAGACTAATACTTTTTTTTTGGTTTTTCGAGACAGGCTTTCTCTGTATTATTTTGGAGGCTGTCCTAGAATTCACTCTGTAGCCCGGGCTGGCCTCAAACTCACAGAGATCTGCCTGCCTCTGCCTCCCGAGTGCTGGGATTAAAGGTGTGTGCCACCAAGTCCCTGCTTTTTTTTTCAGACTAATACATTTATAAATAGAGTTTACTAAAAGTTTCAAAGAAACAATAACTCCCTTGGAATTTGTTAGTAAAATAAAACCTATTTTGTCTTCCTAGAGAACCGAGGGGTGGTGTTGGTGAAAGATTCAGTAGAAGACACTGGAAAGAAATTCTTAGTGGATGCAGATTTGGAAGATGATGGCATTAAGAAAGCCCACATAGAGAAGGATTTTATTGCTTTCTGCTCTTCAACACCAGGTAAAGGAGTTTTTATGCAGATGATCTTTGTCAGGGTTACTGTTAGAATGGACCCCATACTTACTATTACCCAAGACTTTCACTGACAACTTTAAAAATTCATATTCAATCCCCCTCATCCACAAAGACAAAATATACGTATATAGTAAATTCTTCCATGATGCATAATGTTTCTCCTAGATTATCAAGGATAACAGAGTAATAAACAGAGGAATACGTAACCTGAAGTTGATTGGAATCTGAAAGGTGTGCACCACTGGGCTTAGTCAGGACACCAGTTTGCACAGGCATCAGGTATTTATGGAATCCTGAAGCTTGAGATGTGGAGACAGAAAAATGTATGACTGGACCTCAGATCCTCAGAGCCCAGGCCAGACAAACACCTGCAATCCCAATGTTGCTATGAGTAGTTGGAGGGAAGACACAGGAAAAACTACTGAAAACACACAGACCAGCTATCCTGTGCTGCATATTTGAGATAAAGTGGGTTTAATGTGAGAGGGTTTGATACATGAAAACAGATATTCATAAATAATTCAAATGTGTGTGAAACAGTAATAGTCAGATCACATCCTGACAGCTCCATTTACTACATCTTATATTAAATCTAGTTGTTTCATATTGCTGAGATTCCTTTGAATTTCTCACCAATATTTGCAAATATCCTGCCATTATGGAAAGGATTGAATAAGATGATACATGTGTGAATCACTGGACAATTCTTAAAGTACCTAACATAAAGTTGTTCTTTTTATCAAGGTTCTAATTTGTAATCAAACTCAAGTTACTTACCATGTTAAGGCTTAAATAAAACTTACTTGAGCTTTTCATTTACTGAATTTTGCATTTCCTGAGGCCTTCATTCTTTTACTCAAATGCATCCTTAAAACTCTGACTCTGATCAAATACCTTACAGATTATATTATTGACTATGGTCACAAACTCCAACACTGGGTAGACCAGGCCTTAATATAGGTCTCAGTACACTATTTTCCAATGATAAATGTCATGGTTATTGACACAATCTAGGCTCCTGGGGATTTGCAGAACTATTGGCTACTGATGTATTCTGGGCAGACAGAGAATGATCTTCAGAAATATACCAAGTAGTATGCAATGACACTCCACTGCATAGTTTCATACCATTGGTCAAACAGACAACTCTGATTACACCCAATAAATCATAAAAATTACAAAATGACATACACACAGGAAAGAGACATGTAAGGGGGAAGTATTGATTTATGAGTGGGGGGGACTTAATGAGAGGGCTAGGAATAAACATAATCTGATGCATTCTACATAGGAAAGAAATTGTCAAAGAACAAGTGTATTTAATTTTAAAACACCATAGCAAAACACCAACACATTTCCAGCTGGTTTTGTGTGTGTGTGTGTGTGTGTGTGTTTGTTTTTTGCATTGTTTATCTTTTCAGTTTTTCGAGACAGGGTTTCTCTGGTGGTGTTGGCTGTCCTGGAACTCAACTCTGTAGACAAGGCTGGCCTCAAACTCACAGAGATCCACCTGCCTCTGACTCCCAAGCGCTGGGATGAAAGGTGTGTGTCACCACTGCCCGGCTCATTCCCAGCTCAAAAATGCAGGGAACTTTATTGTTAGGTTTAACTGTCGTTTTATATAATCTCCTCTCATCTTGCATCCCACGTTCCTCTCTGGTTTTAGACTCTTCTTCAGGCCTTTCCATTCTTGCCACTCACGCTGCTGGCTTGTGTCTCTTTCTTTGGCTGCCTTCACTATTCTTTGTAAATGGCTCAGACTCTACCTGTCTTCCACACCCACTACCACACCCAGCTCCAATTTGCCCATGTAAACCCCAACCACACAGTAAGACCTTTTTTGAAAACAATCTGGCCTTAGTAGGACTTTTATGAAAAGAAGCCTTTTATTCTCTTCACTGTCCATGTTCATTCGGAAATACCTGCTTCTTCTCCTCATTTCATTTACCCTGCTCAGATATTTGTACTTATTATGTAGCCTTCAAATATCTCCTTTTTTTACTAGAAATAATTTCTCTCCACTTGTTGTTAAGAACACTGTATTTCAAAATGTGCACCAGACTTAAACCAGAGCCATTGCATGGCATCCTGGAGATGCACACTGAGATTCTTATTCTCCCAAACATAATCACTCTCTTCAATAGGGTCTGTCTCTCTGCCACGGGCAGACCCAGTTAGGACCTCTTAATTTGGGAGAATTAGGGATTTGGTACTTAGGTGGGCAAAGAGTTGGCGACTCACAAACAGACACGAACACAAGACAGTGGTAAATTCGAGTGCAATTTGTTAAAACATGCATTAGATTTTATAGTTATTATATGAGGAAATAAGGAAGTTAATTTTGAATATATGTTAAGGTATATTGAAATTAGCAAAATTGACACATAAGTCACATTATGAGATTAGAAGTTTAAAGTAAAAATGTTAATTTGGTATATATGTTAAGGTACATTGAAGTTAGCAAAATTGACATGTAAGGCACATTATGAGATTAGAAGTTTAAAAAAGAAAATTAAATACATAAGAACTGGCAGTAGCCAGGCAGTGGTTACAACATGATAATATTAGTTTTGTTTGAGATTAATTTATTTTTAGAATTATTTTTTTCTTTTATTGGCATATGCCCCAGCCATAGTTTTAATTTTTGGTTTAGTGCTTAACCCACCATTGGCCTGATTTTTTTAATTTTTTATTATACTATTTTGCTGTGCCTTGGATAATAGACATTAAGGGTGTTTTGCTTTAACAAGCCTTTTTTATGAAATTTATGGTATAGTACAGCATATGTTTTCTATATTTACTTATTATATTCATTATAAATTTTAGTATAAGGAAGGGAAGCAGCCATTATTTTAAGCACTTAGGGAGATTTTTTATTTAGTTGAAGAGCCCACCATTGGCCCCTGATTTTGTTAGTCTTGTTTTTGGCAAGGAAGATAGAACATGAGTCTTGGCCAGAGGAGGAACATTTAATTTCTCCCAAACCTAATCACTGTCTTACCCTAGGGACTGTCTCTCTACTAGATTTTTCACATCCTTGACATCAAGAAATACTGCTCCATCTGAAAATCTGCAATTCACACAGCATCCACCTTGAGTAAGAAGGAAGAAGCATTCATCAAATTTTATGTGTATATCCATTGAAAAATGGCAGGCAGATTATAAGATACAATATGAACTCTTTAATGATTCCAGCTAGAGTGGAAACGTGGAAAGGCTATGGTGGCCTGTATCCAGGATAAGGACTGTCATAAGATTTGAAATATATGTTATTTACAGACAATGTTTCTTGGAGACATCCTCTCAAGGGCTCTCTTTTCATTGTGGAACTCATCAAGCAAATGAAAGAATATGCCTGGTCTTGTGACTTGGAGGACATTTTCAGAAAGGTAGGACTAATGCTTTAATCAATTCTACTCCCCTGGTCTTTGGCTATTTAAGCTGCTCAGGACATGTTTGTCATGTAATAATGATGTCCTTTCTAAAGAACTTTGTATTATTACTTCTTCTTTTTAGTTAATCAACTATCCCTAAATGGGGCCAATGTTTTATGATCAAAAGCCTTAAGAAATAATCATTTATGTTAACCCCTACCCTGTATTTAATAGAAAATGGAGAAGAATATACTATCCCTGTGTTCATCATATTTGTCAGTTCCTGAAAAAAACTTAATAGTCTGGGAGATATTCTCACAGCTGAGGTTCTTACAAATACCTTGAGCTGTTGTTTAGTGTCATGCTAATCGGTGCAGTTTTTCCATCTCAAGTCAAGATTCTACTTTCTTAAAAAAGTGACTATAAATCTCTCTTTCTCTTCTAGGTTCGATTTTCATTTGAACAACCACAATATAGTTTGCAGATGCCCACCACTGAAAGGGTGACTTTGACAAAACGTTTCTACCTCTTCCCAGGACATTAAAACAAGTATGTTGGATCAATGTCTTTGTGTGTGTGTGTGTGTGTGTGTGTGTGTGTGTGTGTGTGTGTGTGTGTATGTGTGTGTGTGTGTACAATAGGGAAAGTTTGCATGAAGAGCACTAGAGTAATAAAACTCATCCTGACCCAGGTTTCTAGGTCTGACATAATTATTGGGGAGAACAGGGAAACAGTGAAGAGTGCATTGTTTCAGTATACTAAGGATGTTCTTTTTTCTTAATGTTCCCATACTTGGATTGTACTTTCTCAGGGTGGGTTGTTATGGGCCCGAGTTTGAAAGGCCTATGTTTTATATGTCTATATTTCATCTCTGTAGAGCAGAGCACTTAAACATCTCTGTAGCACTTAAACACTCTTGGGTTCTTCTCTGTTATGAGCATATATGCCAAAATTACAGGGTGATATTATAATCTGCACATACCTCAGCAGAATACTTAGGTTTGTGTGATTTTTCTTCCCTACAGGAAGCCAAGAGTTCCATTATTCTGTACCTGTTTTGGGAATCATGCCAATTAGAAGTGACATTTCTCTAAATGATGCAATAAATCTCAAACAAAACTTAAAGACTACCCTGGTTGTTCTGGCTATTGTTGTTGGTTTTTCCTTTGAGTTGATGCTCAGAACAATATGAGGAACTTATATTTTTTTAATTGAATTTAGTCTTTGAAAGTGCAATTTCATTACTATAACTTTACACCCTCTTTGCTTTTATTCTATCACTATAATTACTCTCCTCCCTAAAGTTCCCTTTCATATACCCTTGTGTCTTTTGTTTTTTAATGCCACCTAGTGCAACCATGGGAAGGGACTGTCCACTGGAGCTTGGTAGATACCTTAGTAGAAACGCAACTGCAGGCAGTTAATTGTTCCTTTCCCAGAAACCATCAGTAGCCAGCTTGTCAACAGAGTTCTTAGATTTGGCACTTAAGTCTGAACTGGTTTGGCACCATTATTTCTTTTAAGGTATAATTTGCTTGTGTTTTTCTATATAAAAGGAAATGTGATATCTTCACCACAGGTGTCTGAATTCCACAAATTTATAGCTTGGCAGAATATATTTAGGAGACAGAACTGGAACAGTGACAGTCAAAATGATAGATGACATCTCAAAATGAAGAGCTTGCTTGCTACTGCTGCTTTGAACAAAACCCAACAATTTCCACATGCTGATACACTTCATGGTTTCAAAGAAAATATGTATCCAGCCCATAACCTTAAGATTTCACATTTCCATTGAGATGAGAAAACAGACAGCACCCCTAGCAAATATGGTACAATTAGCAGACTCACATGACACTAACACACTGTCAGTTGTGATATCGCTTTAGCCATTTACTCAGTGACATTGATTAGGTTCAGGAAGACATGAGAGATGGCCACTGCACATGCTCCTTTCCAGTGCATCCTGTCTAAGCTGACATGCCCTGTATCCTCCAAGTTGGTCACAGTACAATCTTTGTCTATTGTCCATTGTCTAACTATGTCCCTGATATACCTGTTTGCTGAGATCATGTGACCAAGCATGCATTCTATTACTGCCTGAGACTGCTTCTGTGAGTAAGGAGCAATCTATGTTCAGAGGATACCACACACAGTGGTAATCAGTCTCTCTCAGCAAAAATTTATGCATAAAGGCAGTCTTGCACAGTAAATGAAACACACTCAGGGAGGATAAAATCAACCATGATATTAAATATGCTTAAAGAGTTGAATCAATCTTATAATAGTATTTGTTCTTATATTTAGTGACCAAGTGAGTCACAGAGAGTTATTGATGACCACCTTACTAGCAGAAGTAATGGAGACTAACTAATGACACAGGGCTTCCCAGAGCTTAGAATCTAATGGTAGAGTACTGATATGTAGGATGGAATCATAATTATGGGGCAAAAATGTCAGATTATAGAGAAACAGGTTCCTTAGGAACAAATACTGTTGATATTTAGGCAAGGTTGGAAGCATCAAGATAATATGGCAAATTTAGTATTAACAAAGATGAGATGTAGGGAGTAAACTGTAGAAAATAGGAAGACGAAGAAAGGAGTACTTAGGAGAACAATATTGCAGAGATTTGTATGTAGATTTCTAGGATAAAAGAGGATGGGATGCTCAAAAATCAGTGAACAAAATAGAAACTATATCAGAAAATGAGGCTGAATGATGAGGTCTAGTTTTTTGCCATTTTTTAAATTTTCATTTTACATGCAAACCACAGTTTTCCCTCCCACATTTCCTCCCACCCCACCCCTTGCCTCCTCCCACCAGCCCATCCCCAGTCTGCTACTCCTCATGGTTAAGGGCTCCTATGACGCATCAACATAGTTTGGCCTAGATTTAAATTGAGATCTTAGAATACTCAGTCTCATTGTCAACAATAAATGAGAAAAAGATGAGAAATTTCAAAGTCCACAGAGTAATTTTGAATAGAAGGATTTTGATGTATATGGGAAAAGCAAAGGGAAATAAGAAAAATGCATGGATTCTGCATATATTTAGCAAATATAATGAAGAAAACATAGATTTAAGTAGAAAATAGGGCATAAACTAAATACATTTACTGACATAAGGCTTAGCTGCTTTTTATATATTGGAGATAAAATATTATTTATTAGTAATTATTCAAAGAAAGATGATTAAAACGAGACATTTTCATTTTTAAATTCAATATAATGAGATTGTGGGTTATGGAAACACGATAGTTCATTGATTATTGAATATGCAACTCTAAATGATGAGATCCAGGTGTAGGCTGAATCTATTAAATCAAAAATTACTTATTATTTAAAGTTTATAATTGGTACACTGAGCATGTGTGGCTTACAAGTGTGACTTCTGGTGCAAGAATTTGCTTTTATGTGATAATTTATGTATTCATGTAATTGGAAAATAATATATATTTTAATTATACAAAATGTTTTAAAGTAAGTGTACACTACTCAACACCTAAGTAGGATTAGGATTAATTAACATATGTGTTGTTTCTGATCTTTTGTTGTGTGGTGATAAATACTTAAATTGCAACAATATGACATATGATTGTTAACACAGTCAATGATCTCCAGAAGCTATGGAATTTACTTGCCCTACTAAGGAATGGTAACTTCATTTCAACAGTATCTCCCTGAGCTACACCGTACCCCACCTCTCTACTCTTTTCCTGGATGTAACATTTTTAGATTCCACAAATAAGTAGAACCATATTGTATTTTGCTTTTAGTGCATGGATAGGTTAATTTCACTTAACACAATGTCCTACATTTTCATCCATATATTTACAAATGTCAGAACTTCATTAAAATACTAACCTTTACAAATACTAAAAGCACCATATATATCCTTTTCCTTATATGCTCACCTACCTGTCCACAAATACTTATTCCGCTTCTATACCTTGGCTGACACAAACAACTGCAATACGTGTTAAACTTAAAATATCCCTTAACTATTCTTATTTCATACATAGGATACAACCAAGAGTGGGTTTGATTGGATTATTTTATTTTTCTAGTGGCTATACTAGTTTATACTGCCACCAATAATGTATAAAGGCTCTCTGCCTTAGCATACTCTACAATACTAACCTTGTATAGTCTTTTAAAGTTTTGTTTATTCTTCTTATATACAATATATCCATACTTCGAGTCTCCCACTTCCACTCCTGCCGGTTTCATCATCACCTTCTCTTTTCCCCAAATCCACTATTCTCTCACATCTCATGCACGAAAAAAACCAGGCCTCCTTAAGGCATCAGGCAAACAGAATACACCAAAATATAGTAAGACCATCACAGACCCTCATATCAAGCTGGACTAGTATCCAACAGGAGGAAATCAATCTGAAAATAAAGTAAAAGAGTCAGAGACACACCATTAGGATCATTCCCAAAAAAACCAAGCCAAAGAAGCTGTGCATACAACCTAGTGCAAACCCATGCAGGCTCACCAATTACTACTTCAATCTCTGTAAGCACCCATGACCATGCTTAGTTCATTCTGTGGACCTTGTTCTCCCAATGTCCTCCCTCCTTCTTACTCCCTCAATTCCCCTTCACCCTTTTACATGTGGTTCCACAAAAACTCCAAACGGAGGGATCCAATGGAGACCTCCAGCCTGGACTCTGTCCACCTAATGTTTGTTTGGCTGTGGGTTTATGGTTCTGCTACGGTCAGTGTTTCTCAGATGATGACTGGCCTAGGCTCCAATCTACGTGTATAGCAGAACATTAAGAATCATTTCATTGTGACAGACTCTAGATATCCCCTATGTGGAAGGAAGTGGCGATAGGGTGGGAGGCTGGGGAGGATGGCTGGGGGGGGTTGCGGGAGGAGGGGAGAGAGAGGGAACTGGGATTAAGATGTGAAACAAGCTACTTAAAATTAAAATAATAAAACAAAATTAAAAAGAGAATCATTTCATTGTTTTTGTTTTGTTTTGTTTTGCCAGATGTGTTTGATTCTACCCTAGATTTCTGACCTATCTAACCACCAGTTCCTGGTCATCCACCTCCTAGCATGGCCCTCAAATTGGACCAGTTACTGGATGGTCACCCTCAGAACTCCAGTGCCACCACTGTCCCAGTACATCTTGTAGGCAAAACAGAATGCAGGCTGAAGGTTTTGTGGCTGGGTTGGTATCCCTGCCCCAACACTGGAAACATTGCCTGGTTACAGAAGATGGCTGGTTCAGGCTCCGTGTCCTCCATTATGAGGAGTCCTCACTAGGGTTACCCTGGAGGTTTCCATTGAGAGTCCTTTGTACAAGGTTTCCACACCCCTATGTCCTCTAATTCTCTCCATCCCTGTACCCATTCCCTCCATCTCCTCAACTACCTGATCCCCCCTATTCTCTCCATACTTGCCTCCAGTACACCTGAAAAATCAACTCTATTTCTACTTCCCAGGGAGATCCATGCATCATCTCCCTAGAGTCTTCCCTGTTTCTGAGCCTCTCTGGATCTGTAGATTGTGGCATGATTATCATTTACTTAACAGCTAATCTCTAGTTATAAGTGAATATATACCTTGTTTATCTTTCTGTGTCTGGGCTACATCACTCAGGATGTTTTTTTTCTAGTTCCATCCATATGCCTGTAAATTTTATGATGTCATTTTGTTACCAGCTGAGTAATACTGCATTGTGTAAATGTACCATATTCTCTATCTATTCTGGCATTGAAGGACACTTAGGTTGTTTCCAGTTTCCGACTATTATGAATAAAGACAATGTGAACATAGTTGAGCAAGAGTCCTTGTTGTAGAATGGAGTGACCTTTGGATATGTGACTAAGAGTACAGCTGGGTTTTGAGGTAGATCAAGTCCCAACTTTCTGAGGAACCACTGAATTGATTTCCATAGTGGCCACACAAGTTTATCTTTTTGATAAGGCCCATTCTGTTAGACATGAGATAATCTCCTCACGACTTTAATTTGTATTTCCTGGTTGCTAGAGTTAATGAAAGTTTGGTTTGCTTTGTTACATGCATATTGGCTACCATAATTTTCTATAAAATCTATCTATTCAGGTCCTGTTACTGTGTTTTTTCTTTAATCTGTTGTCTTGCTATTAAATAGTTTGGCTCTCTTATATAATCAGGATATTATATTCTTATCAGAATGCAAATCTGCAATGTAGCATGCTGTGTTCACTCTCTTCTTTGTTGCCTTTGGTTTTAGCTGTTTTTTACATTAATTGTTTTAAACTGTGCTTTTTAAGGTCTTGGGAGTAAAATCATTGCACAGACTAACATGAGTGAATATTCCCTCTATGTTCTAGCATTGCAAAATTACTAGTCTAAAGTTTAATTATTGACATAAGTTTCTAAAAATGTGGTCAGAGATAAAGAACTAATTTCATTCTTCTGCAAGTGTGGACCCAATTTTCCTAGAAATATATTTTAGAGGAACAATATCTTCAATATTGCTGGTGCTTGGAACTTTGGTTGAAAAGCAACTGAAGCATAACATAGCTGTAATTATGCTGTATCATATGGCTTTTGTGTTTGTTTTTCTGTGGATCTCAGTCCCACTTTATTTTAGATTTATAGCTATACAGTGTGTTCCATACAACTTTATTTTTTTTATTTTATTTTCCAGTTTAAATTTAGATAAGAAACAAGGTTGCTTCACAAGTCAGTTCGAGGTCCCTCTCCCATTCCCTCCCTTCCTCCCGTGCCCTCCCCCCCCCCCGTTATCCCCTCATTTCTCCAGGGAGGGTGAGGCCCTCCATGGGGGTGTGCATAGTGTGTCATTTCATATAGGGCAGGGCCTAGACCCTTCCCCAAGAGTTCAGGGTGAGAGTGCACCTCACATTGTTCTATGGGAGTCCAAAGTCCATGTGTATACTTGGGATGGGTACTGATCTGCTGCCCAAGGCTCAATAGATTCCCTAGGCCTCTTCACTGACACCCAGATTCAGGGGGTCTTGATCAGTCCCATGCTGGCTTCCCAGGCTAATGCCTGGGATTCAAGAGTTAACCTTTTTCTGCTCAGCTGTTTCTGGGGGTTAAACCAGCCCAGTCTTAATCCCTTTGATCATCAGTCCTCCCTCTCTGTTACTGGCTTTCTTGAGTTCAGCTCAGTACTTAACCAAGGGAGTCTGCCACTTCTTCGATCAGCCACTGAATGAAGTTTCTGTTTCCCAGACTCTCTGGCCATAGGATTGTAGGCTGGCACTCCCCAGATCTATGTCTAAAATCCATATATGAGAGAGTGCATGCCATGTTTCTCTTTTTGTGACTGGGTTACCTCACTCAGGATGGTTTCTTCTAGTGCCATCCATTTGCCTGCGAATCTCATGATTCCATTATTTTTTTCTGCTGAATAGTACTCCATTGTGTAGATGTACCACATTTTCTCTATCCACTCTTCAGGTGAGGGACATCTAGGTTGCTTCCACCCTGCTCTTACTCTCCCTGCTGTCTTACTCCCCCTGCTCTCTTACTCTCCCTGCTGTCTTACTCCCCCTGCTCTCTTACTCCCCCTGCTTTCTTACTCCTTGCTCTCTATCCCTTCTTGCTCTCATTCTAGCTCACAACCTAATTTTTAATTAATTTTTACATATGCATATGTATTTTGAATTTTAAGATATGGTATGAATTTTAATGGTTTTCCTACTTTCTAAAAAATGACAGTTGACTTTTGAGAGTGATTCCATTAAAGCTACAGTCTGCTTCAGTTGTGGCTATTTTAACAATTTTAGCCCTACAGTTCCACAAATATATGGTATCTTTCCATGTATAAATGACATTTATAATTGGTATCTTTTACTACCTTGGATACATGTATTTTTAGCTTTCTTTTTATTTATTCTTTGTGTCTTTCACATAATGCATCCCTATCCCATTCGTTTCCTCATCCCTTTGTATCTGCCTTCTGCCCTTGCAACCCCCCAGCAAATAAAAAAGAATAAAATTTAATAGAAAACAGGAAGGAAAAAAAAGGGGAAAATCAATCTCATCATGGAAGCTGTAGTGTGACACAGTAAGTCATACTGTAAGTCATTTTGTCCATGTGTACTTACTGCAAGTGTTCATTGCAATAGTCTTTGGTCTAGTTCCAAGCCTCTGGTTTTTGCTAATCTATCAATGCCGGGACCTCCCTGAGACTCCTCTTGGAAATTCTGTTTTGGCCCTGCATTGTAGATATCCTTCAACTTTGGATCTGCAGGACTAGCTTCTTCACATGCTCCAGATCACAGATGGGGTGGATGTTGGAGTGGGCCAACTCATAACCTTGATTCTTTCTGGACCTGGGTAGCTGTAGACTTCATTACCACCAGCTCTCCCATATCCTGACTACCATGGTGAGCCCACCAGCATTGCCCTGGCTAGTTCAACACTTGCAGCCATGAGCAATGGATGGGGCCAGTTCTCCTGTTTTCACATCCTTAGTGTTGGCTCTCCCACGCCTACACCATCAAGGTAAGCTCTACTGTGTTGTCCAGGTAACCTGCTCCACCATGCTCCTGAGTGCTGCAGCGGATGAGGGGCAGGACCAATCTTATGACCTCAGGGCCAGCTCTCTTACCAGGTGTCTAAGGTTGGGAGGGATGGCATCTCTCTTGTGCCCATACCACCATAAGGCAGACGAGGGGCAGGATCAGATTTTCCACACTGATGTGCTTGGGGCAATTCCCTCACACCCTTGTCTGTTTGGGTCAACTCTGTTGTGCTGCCCAGGTGAGGCGCAGGGCCTACTTTGACGAGTAGTGCAGCTGGTAAGGGGGGGGGGGTCAGCTCTCTTGCCCACCACAAATGATAGCGGTAATGGAGGATTGCATTGCAACTCTACCCATGCTGCTTTATGGCAGATGAGAGGTGTGACCAGATCTCACAACCTCACGTTTGTGACCCGCTCATCGTTGTTCCCATCACCAGAGTCAACTCTGCTGTGCTGCCCAGATGAGGGGCAGGGCCTGATTTCCTTACTGTTGCAACTGGTAAAGGGAAGGGTCAGCTCCCTCACCACAGATGAAAGAGGTGGTATGAGCTGTGCCCCTCTCAGACCTCAGGGCTGGCTCACCTGTGCCTTAGCTGACAGAGTCAGCTATGTGATTTTGTAATTTCTCATGATTTTGTAGGGCTAGAAACATAGTGGAAGTAGGAACTTGACTCCTCAAATGCTGGCCCTCAAACAAGGTTCTTTCCTCCAGACTACATACTCTACTCTTCCTGCAGAGTCACTACTTCTGTGAAGATGTTCCAATGTTTCATGAAATGAACATTCATAAAACGAAACACTGTCTTCCCCGTAGAAGTAATAAGCTGCTTTTCCACAAACCGAAAGAATCTCAAAAGCAAAGCTAGAATAGAAATAATGCATGCAATAAAGGTCATAATTAGATAAAGGTGCTCAAAATGCTTTGGCAACCTTAGAAATCACATCCAAATTCTGAGCTAAAGGGAAGTGCATGCTCAGCAGAGAGGAGGAACAAGTGAGAAATCTTAGGGAACCCTAGGTAATATCTAGAATGGAATCCTCAGGGTGACATTAGGACAATGTGACTGCACTGGCCCTGATAGACCAGGCCACATTGGGGAAGATGAAATATTGGAACAGGTCAAGTCTCCAGAGAGCCATGTGGATATGAGTTTAATTCTGAGGGATCTCAGTGTAGGTCTGAGAAGGAAGAGTGAAGTATAGAAGGAATCCAAGATATTTGTTTCATTGAACAACTTTTGCCAGGCAATTTTAATCATAGAGATGAGTACTCTTTGCCCAGGATGATACTTTTGTCTTATTCTACAGGACTCCCTCATTTTTATATCAATTTTATTGGATTTCTACCCAACTTCTGAAAATTGGAAATTAAAATTTATCTAAATTCCTAGGTTTTAAATTTCTTCCCATGTAACACAGTGACTCAGAGCTACTTGAGAACAGTAACACATGCAAAAAATGGGGAAAAATTATGATACATTGTACTAATGAGAATTACTAAGATTATTTACTTAGTTTTTCTCCCTTCATTAATTATGATATTAGAAAAGCTAAGTAGATGACACCGTGGTGAGTAAATTATTTCTCTTAAAATACAGTTGAAGTAAACAAAAATGGTGGGACATTTTAATATAAGACACCTGGAAATTTCAAGTCCATGTTGGGTATGAAATGTCAGAGTTGGTCCCAAATTACAGTGGTATTCTCCCAAGAATTATCAGAATTTAGGAATTTGTCATTGGGTTGTTCTACTCTCCACATCAAGGACTTCTCAACACTTTCCTAGGTGTACAAGGTCCTGTACTACAGATTAGCTATTTTTAATCTTCATATATTAGAGAGTTATTCCCTTTAATATCTTCTAGACTATTCTGCTCAGCCAGAAAAGAAAATCAATTCTCACAATCAAACACAGAAATTTACATTGTGTGATTTATTTTGCTGATGATCAAGAAATGAAGAAATCAGAAGAACCTGCGGACACTCTCCTGAGCAGCCCATGAGACCTATGTGGAGAAAAGACTCAAGATGTACTCTCCTTCATGCTCAGAATAGAGCGACAAGAAAAAATTGTTCATTCTAAAGACAATATTTTAAAACTCTGAGTCCAAGGTATGCGATTATAAATGCTGTAGATTACTATTTTTATATAAAAAGATTCTAGTTGTCTTTTATTCAGTAATTAAATTTATGGTGTTCATTTAGAACTTTTATTTTTTCTCTTCTATTCAGGGTTTATGAGAATTTTGTTTGCAGTCATGGAATCAAAATAATTATAAAACAACAAAGTTGAGTAGTAATTATCTGTAGTTTAGTTAAAAAGCACACACACTGAAGACATTTTATTATTAAAGCATACAAAGCTTGATGTTGATATACTAAAAATTGTACCACAACATTAATGAATGCCCTGTGTTTTACTACTTGCTTAACTTTAGTTGATAATATCTTTATATTTTAGATGTGACCAAACCTTGAATTATAGGGAATTTTAACTAGGTACAAAAAAGGAAAGAGTAGTTATTTTCCTGTTTTTCTAAAGACTTTTGTGTAACTACCCTAGCTAGATTCTTGTTATGGCCTGAGCCCTTGGGAAGCACAGAGACAGTGTCTTTTGGGGTAGAGGTTGAGGCAGAAGGAAACTATCTGAGATCTTAATACAGCAATGTTTATAATGGACAGGTCTTCAAATGCTCAAGTAAGACAAATTCACTGTGTGTCCATTTCCTAGAGATTTACCCAATAAAAGAAGTCAAAGGTCACACTTTAAAGGCTCTTATCATATGCAATACAGAGGTCAAACCTCTCTCTGAGATATGGCATTAACTTTGAAATAATTTTCATGAAAGGCCTTCTTGAAAACCTGGACCATACCGTGGTAGGGAAAAAGGAACTAATGACTGAGATAAGAGCCACTACAAACTCATATACAGTGAACATGTCATGTTTTACTCAAAAATGAGCATCAAGGACACTAGATACTGTACTCCATCATGAGACTTGCAAATGCTTTAGCATGACTCCTTCAAATTCCTTTAATAAGTAAATTATTCCTAGTGGACCCTGTCATAGAATTATTGCATGTAGAATTTGACAGAATGTTCATAAAAATTTGTTGTGGTAGAGTATTTGAGAAAAGCAGCCAGTCCTGTGATCTATGACTTTTTATACAATAATATTGAATGGATTTGCTGGGCGGTGGTGGCACATGCCTTTAATCCCAGCACTCGGGAGGCAGAGGCAGGCGGATCTCTGTGAGTTCGAGGCCGGGATGGACCGATAGCCTCCAAAACAATACAGAGAAACCCTGTCTCGTAAAAACCAAAAAAATATTGAATGGATTTGATACAAAAATGAATCAATTGTGTGTGTGTGAAGTAAAAGACATCACTGTGCTGGAATACCTCAGTAACTCCATATGTATTTCACTATACAATACCCTAATCACGGTAAATGGCCATTCTTAAAGACTATGTATTGGAGCACATTTTCTCAAAAAGAAATTAAAATTTATTTAGATGAAGGGGTGGATTCAGGACTTGAGTCAGAGCATTGCTATATGAAGGTAGTCTTTGGCCTGAGAAGCTTATCAGAGAGAAAGCACATATGTAAGGTTTAGAGTAGAAGGCAACAAAGTCCTTCTCCACATGGCTCAGCTGGACAGTGTCTGCCTCCACATTCCTAGGTGGATCTGTATCTTGGCTTTTGAAGACTCTCATTCACTTCCCCAGGGCTCCCTGCAGAGAAATTGCTTTCTGTATTGCTGGGATACACTTAATAAGACCTCCCCAATCTCCTACCTCAGTAAATTTTAGATATTATACAAATTAGTTTCACATGGGTGTGTCACACACACAGAGAGAGAGAGAAAGAGAGAGAGAGAAAGAGAGAGAGAGAGAGCTGCATCCTCATTAGGATCATTGAGAAATATTCCAATTTACTATAACAAGATTGTTTTACATCATCAGAACACCTGGCTGTAGCTAAGTTATTTCAACTTAAAATTTTTAGTTACTTACAGCTTCATGGTAATTTTCAGTGAAAGTTATTGGATGTGTTAGAAAGTGACTCATCCCAGCTCTCCAAAGACTAAGGCAGGAGATTACTATTAGTTCTTGGTGAGCTGAAGATTAACAGCAAAACTCAAAGGAAAAAAATGCACTCGGCATACACATGCACCCATATATTATTTCACGACTCATCATAGCCAAGTTGTGGCATCAACACAGGTATTCATTGATAAATGAATGCTACAGATAATGAAGATTCAACCTTATTTTTTTGAAAGAAAATGGGTTGAACTGGGGAGTCATTGTGTTAAGCAAAACAAGCTGCATTGAGAAAGGCAGTATGGTTTTGCTTATATGCTGAATCTCGATTAAAAGCTAACAGGACACAAAAGTGCAAGTGGCACTATTTCAGAAAAGGGTGTGGATCAGGAGGAGGGAGATGGAAAAAGAGGGTGAGTGTGATATAGAATAGTCAAAGCACATATGAAAGCATAAAAATATAATGAACCAATTACATTATCCATTTAGGACATGGTAAAATAACAGGTTATAATTACATATGGCCATAGTGGCCTGCTGAGTTTTGTATGTAAGTTTATATTTTATGCAGGGACTGTACCAGTAAATGTAACTTACAGTGTGCCCTCACACATGCCTTGACATTTCCACACTCATTTCTGCTGACTCATTCTGCCTTGTTTCTTGCCCCTTAATTTCCTTTGTGTCCCAGCCCTCTTTTATTCCCTTAAGAACATGTTTATATTTTCAGATCACATTTTGTATACTTTTATTCAATTTCCAATATATGAATATGTGAAACAGCATTTCACAATCTTCATTCTGTGACTGGTTCTTTTTGCTTAATCTGAGGATTTAAATTGAAAACTATTTTCCTTCAGATTTCAGGATGTTATTACTTTGTATGGTTATATAGTTATCAATTGTGTATAAACACCACATTTTCTTTATCCAGTCATGGTAACCATGGTAACCTTAAGGTGCCTTATAGCTGATTTGTGTAATTTGTAAATTTTCAGGTGTTCTTTTTGAAAATATTTTGTGGAGGTAAATTTGATAACCTCAAACTAGTCTCAGGGTTTTGGTCACCCAAGAAGTGTCAGGAATGAGCTCTATTTTGTGGAGTGGTATTGCAGTCAAGTGAGCTGTTCGTTTGTTATGCCACAAAATTAAGGCACCATTGCACTAGCATATCTTGTAGGCCCAGGACAATTTTGGATAACATTTTGTATATTAACTGTCTATCAGATGTATAGTTGATAAAAAAATCATTTTTTTCAATTCTTTAAGATGTTACTTTATCTGAATGACAGTGTCCTTTTTCATGTAGGAACTTCTCAGCCATGTCATGAGGTCCCATTTGTTAAATGTTGATGTGGCTGCTTGTGGTACTCAATGTGTTCTGTTCAGAAAGTCCTTCGCCAATGAGTTCAAGGAAATTCCCCACTTTGTCCTCTATCAAGTCACTGTAACTGGTTCTATGTTGAGATCTTGATCCATTTTGGGTAGAGTTTTGTGCAGAGTAGTAAGTATACAAACATTCTGCATGCAGTCATTCAATTTGAAAATCACCATTTGTAGCAGATTCTTCTTTTTTCCAGTGTGTTTTTCTGCTTTTTTATTTATTTAAGAAACATCATGTGTATGGATATCCAGTTAGACTCCATTTATCAGCATGACTTCTTTAGCCAATAGTATGACATTTCTATTTATACAGTTTTGTGATGTAACTTAAGATTTAGAATAGATCTGTAATGAATCTGCAGTTCTTTTATATTTCAGGACTGTGTTAGTCATCCTGCATTGCATGTGAGTGAGTGTGTATGTGTGTGTGTGTGTGTGTGTGTGTTTGTGTGTGTGTGTTTCCATATGAAACTGAAGATTATCCTTTCCATATCTGTGAAGAATTGTGTTTGAACTATAGTGGCTATTACATTGAACCTATAGATTGCTTTTGGTAGGATGTCCTCTTTCGCTATATTAACCCTATTTTAACATGTTTGATGACACATGATGAGTGATGGGATGGATTCTCTATGGCATGAACATGATCACCATCTGTTCCTTGTCTCCTCTGCAGAAACCACAGGCAACTGAAACTCCTTTCATCATCCTGAAGAGGTGATTTTGACCAAGGATCATGTTGTAAACCTACAATCCCAAAACTAGGGAAGCTGAGGAAAAGATAATTGTGAATTCAAGATCAATCTGAGAATTATATTGAGATTTTATCATAGAAAGAACAAAAATCATTTTACAAAAACATAGCATACATGTATTTAATTGTGTGTTTAAATAAAATAAGGCAAATAATATGTCTCTTGGTTTCTTTAATGGAGAATAATATTTAAATTAAACTAATAATGTTGGAGAGAAACTAATTGTAGTATCTAATGTTGTGGCTCATATGATGTCCATGGTACTGGAAAAGTTAGTTCTCACAGTATGATGAAAACGGTGACTGTGATGGTTGGCTTTAACAGTCAACTTTACAGAATCTAGACTCATGTTGGAGACAAATATCTGACTATATGGGTGCAGCATTTTGTTGATTAGATCATCTGAGATAGGAAGGCCTAGGCTAAAATTGGGGAGCACCACACCCCAAGCCTGAGTCCTAGAAACAATTTGAACATAGGAACTCATTGCTCTTTTCTCAAGCGAAAGCTGCTACATGGCTGTGACTACCTTACATGAACTTACTTTAGTATGACTATGTTTCATGAACTCATTGTGGGGGGATATACTGCATGAAGTCATTGTAGTTCTATCTTGAATGAAGTCACTACAACTGTGGCTATCTCACATGAATTCACTGTGGGTGTGACTATCTTACATGAATTTACTACAATTGTTACTATCTTACATGAACTAACTATGGTTGTCACTATCTTACATGAACTCACTAGAACTGTGACTATTTTACATGAACTCACTAAAACTGTGACTATCTTACATGAACTCCCTGTACTTGTGACTATCTTAGCTGAACTCACTACAACTGTAGCTATCTTACAATTCAGGCTCACGATTGAACCCATCAACATTTTATCATGGGTAGAGGAGAGGTCCTCCCTGAAGGACTGTTGACAGCTGGGGTTCTTTGAAGAGGGGTTGTCAACTTCTCAGTGGTATAACCACTGCTAAACTTCCATTAAATAATCTCCCACCAGTGATCAGGAGAGAAACTAATAAAACACACTGGGATACTCATAGAAAGGGAACATGACAGGAGGGGACTTATTGAGAAAGTCTTCAGCAGGAGAGACATGGGGATAAGAGTGGGGAATAGGGAGTGAAAATAGATGAATAGCTACAATTCATTCTGTATAAAACTAATTTAAAAAATTTTACACTCTTCAAAAAACAAATAGCTTAGGGAATTTGTATCTAAAATACAGAACAGAGGCAAATTGGAAGATCTTATTTTAATTCTAAGCTTCTCTATACTTTGCTATTCATTGAATTTTGGATGTACTAGTTTGACAAACATTTTGAAGTTATAGTCTACCAAACTTGATAGTTTTCGATTTATCAGAATATATGCTATTCATTATGAAGTTTTAAAGAACAAGTTAATTGATTTCTGATACTATTGTATGACACTGTCTTTGTGGTAACTTTTTGATTCTTGATTTGATTGGATTAAGAAAGGCTTGTGGCCAGGTGTTGGTGGTGCACACCTTTACTCCCAGTCCTTAGGGGGCCAGAGACAGGTGGATCTCTGCGAGTTCGAGGTCAGCCTGGTCTACAGAGTGAGTGCCAGGATAGGCTCCAATGCTACACAGAGAAACCCTGTCTCAAAAAATCAAAGAAAAGAGAGAGGGGGAAGAGGGAGAGAGAAAGAGACAGACAGACAGACAGACAGACAGACAGACAGACAGAGACAGAGAGAGAAAGAGGCTTGGGCCATCCTTGAGAGAGTGATGACTGAGAGGGAGTTTCTGGAGAGGACTGACTGTGGAACAGGAGGGAGAGTGGGCCTGAATGTGGCTCCTTTCATTCAGAGCTCCTGAAGTGAGTAAAACAGAGAAAAGGAGAATTCCAACTGTCTTCTCCTTTCTCTTCTTCCTGCTCTGCTAAGAAATGGGCAAGCTCTCCTTTTCCTGGAGTCACCAGGTAATCTGCCTGAGTGTTCACGTGTCCAAGCTGTAAAAGTGTACAAGGTTTTGTGAAGTCAGGATCTGAAACTGCACATAGTTCTTTGAGGGTGATGTGTTAGCCACACCCATCAACTCCTGAGGTCAATAGATCGAGGGACTACAAGAAGGCTGGTGTCAGGAGTCAGCAGCATTAGAATTTTGTTGAGTACTTTACAAAGAACCTGAAAACATTCACAAGGAAGGCAGGTAGCATGTAGCCCATTGCATCATGAAAATAAAGCAGCTGTGTAACATTCTTTTCTATTTTATAAACATTCCCATTATTTAACTTTTACTGCCATCATTTATCTATAAATTCTTGAAAGCTAGAGTGAAAGACTCTCTTTTACAATTTACAACCAAAAACACCTGCTTGTACCTCCAGATAAATAATATACAAAATTGGCAAATAAACATGCTGACTCAGAGAGAAGGTTACTTACTTGGGTTGGAGTTGGTGGTATCAGCATCAAGGTTTGACAGACACCAGCATATCTTTCCTCTGGAGCTGAGAGGTGCCACTGCTGTCAGGTTTCTTACCTGTGCAAAGGCCCACGGAGGCACTGAGAAAAACAGAGGTCACAGTGCATTTTGAAATTGTGCTGAAACACAGACTGGACTCAGAATGTATCTGTATGTGAATATGCATTTTCAGCCAGAAAACTTTGTTATGTCAAGCGGAAGCATTGCATACCAAAGTAATTCCCTGATTCATGTTCTGGACAAGGAGCAAGAAAATTTGCCAGGCTGGAGTTTCCCAGTGAGACAGCACCATTGGAATGTTTCTGCAAAGGAAAGGCAACTGGTTCTGAGAATGCTTTCACTTTCATTGCTTCTTATGCCCAGGAAGCCTGCACAGCCATGGCAGGTGAGTCCTTTCTTTGTTTAATGTTGTATTCAGGGAGTTACATATGGGTTTCCAGGAGAAGAAATAACGGTGTGGAGGGACTTCGTAGGAATGGAGTTGTTTCAGTCTGACAGTGGAGGGGTTTTGGCAGCCCACATTGCAACGGGAGCATGCAAACACTCAGAGGCCCTAATTTAGTATTTTACAGCTGCTGTAAAAAAGAGGAAAATGTAACAGACCCAGACCCATCATTTCAGTATTTTCCTGTGGGTTAAGGCTTGCCTTTTGATTCCTGACTTAAAGCTCTCCCCAGCTCTGTGGGTGTTCTGCTGTGAGGGCAAAAAGCTGTAGGACTGAACAACGACTTGCATGTTCTCCATCATTTTAGTCGCCATCAAAATGCTTGCAGCAGCAAGCAAGCCAACTAGCTTGATTTCTCCATCTCTATACAGTCCTGGCAATATAAACAGAATGAGTGACACTCTAGCTGCTACATGTTCACACCTCACTATCCCGTATATGGAATACAATGCCTTTTGAAGTTATTAAGAAACAGGAGCAAAAGTGGGAGGACCATGGGTGATAGACAGAAATGCCAGGTATCAGATATCTATTACCAAATTGCTTAATGGAGTTTTCTCTCCTAGCAACCTCAGTTTCCTCCTGTATAAACTTGAAGAGTGTTGGACAAGACAGATGCTGTGTGCTTCTTAGACAAAAACAAGTCACTCAGACATCTCAATAAATAAAACAAACAATTATGAAAAACCACATGGGTCTCGTCCTGATGTATTAAGCAGAATTTCCAAGAATTCAATTCAGGGAGTCCTGTTTATTTAGCTATGTAGGTGATTCTTATGTGTCTTAAAATGTGAAAGCTGCAATTGTGGGAACAGATATCTAAATTTCTTTCCATGATTAAATGCTATAATTTTCACAGGCAAGAGGACATTTGAAAGAGATCCAATCTACAAGACCAAGAGTTTTTGATGACTTGGTAGAAAAGAATGTGTTAATGGAGACTGAGAACACGGAAAGGCGTGAGCTTCCTTCTCAACCACACTGAGAGCAAGGTTGAGAATATCTTTGAGAAAACAGAAATGGCAAACAAAATATTTGCAGGCCACATTGTCAGTTCCAAGGAGCAGCTGAGTTTAAGTGAGTAGTTCTGGCCAAAGCGCCATCATCCCACTCTTCTTCTATTGCCCATGAGGCTTTTATCTTCATTTCTCCTCTTTTCGAGGGAAGCCTAACCTACCCACATTCCTCAGGATGTTGCTTGTCTATTTGTTTAACAGATTAACAAACCTCCTTTCCACCCTAACTACTTTTGTACTCCTGCATATTTCATTATTGGTTTAACAGTTGTACCACCAATTACCCCCATCGAATCTACATATCCATTCCCTTATTGCGTTTCCCTCTCCAGAACATGGCGTGCATAAGGCCGGAGCCTTTGGTTGCTTTATTCATGAATACATATTGATCTTGTAAGGGGTGGCATCTGACAGATGGCACGTGCTCAGAAAGCATTAAGTCATGTTGGGTTAGGAGACAACATCTATAGTGATCTAAGTTTCTGGTTACTCACAGAAATTTAGACTTATTCTTAAATAAAGACTTTTGAATGGGGGACTGGAGAAGTCCCCACTCCTCTCTCAGCTATGGCTTAATTCCAAAGAAGAAAGCTTCACCTTAATTTCTACTGGGAAAAATAAGACAAACAAAAAACCATAAATTTGAAGACTAGTGAAATATTTATTTACTTAAAAACAGTAAATATTGTGAGTTTTGTGTATGTAGTTGTCTCCTTCACACTTCAGGTTTTCTATTTTGGCTGGACAATGTCAATCACTGAAGAGCAGTGAGTGTTCATGTGCTCCATTAAATACTTAGCACAAGGTGATAAGTGGTGCTTGTTCTGCACGTCCACAGATCCTAACCCAGCAAGTGATGCAGAAAATGTGTATCTCAAGTTCCTGATGTTTTCTTCTATGTTATTTTTGTTGTACAAAGGCTACCTCTTTATGTAAAAATAATTTCTATTATAGAGAAACCCTGGTTATAGATTTTGGCTAAATCTGTATTTGTATAATAATCGCAGAAGAGAAAAGTTCTTGCTTCATAGAAGAAATGCCTACTCTTTTTCTTTGGAAGAGAGCACATAAGCAAATGTGAACCTTGGGAACAGATGGAACCTCCATGTTTCAGAGAGCAACATCATGATTTACTTAGCAGTGCTGTGACAGGGCCCAGATATTTACTTACATCCCTGCAAAACGTACTGTTCGTATTGTTTCAGAATTTCATTCTGATGATGAGGATGATGAATCTCGGAAAATATCTACATCATCTTCTCAATCAGGTAACTGCTCCCATGCTCCAGAGCACCACATAAACCATTTGATCTCAATATTCATATCCCAGTAAAGAACCAGGGAACTGTGGTCTTACACATTTTCATTCTTAGAAATGACAACAGTAGATAACTGCTTAGGGAGAGACAGTCACTTTGCACTAGGTGCATGGCCAATGGTTGTTCATATCTAGTGGATGGCCATACACCCATGTGCAAAGTGGCACATTATTTATACTCAGGGTTAATAATAACACAATATAAAAAGCAAAACAAGGGCATGACTATGGAGGGGAAAGGAATGGGGAAATGAGCAGTAGTGAAAGAGAGATTAAACCTGAGAATCTCAAGGAAGAAGGACCAAATCCACTACTGTCCAATAAAATCAATCCATATTTTGGGGTATAACTAGGGCTGGTCAGTGACTGTCTCACCCTAAGTCAAGATTTGAGAGAGCACCCCTATTGGTCTCTTGTGATTCCTTTCATAGTAGAGATAAATGGTGAGATAGTAGGCGCTTATATGGGGATATACATCATATGAATGGAGTCACAGGTTTAGTGTAGGTTGAGAAACATCTTTTGCTTCTTAAATCAGACCTAAGAAGGAGGAACTAATTCTTAGTTACAAATAGATTTCTTAAGTTATTCCTTACCTACCTTAACTGCAAATAGAAGTCTTAACTTTGGTCTCACAGGAGTGGTGGATAGGTCTGGCCAAAATGTATTGTATAACCATATGGATCTTTAAAAAAAACACATAAACAAGAAAATGTCTTTGGAACAAAGAGCACTGATATTCCTCCTTTCTCCAGACTCTGAAAATAGAATTAAAGACAGCAAAGATGAAGAACAAACTTTATCGGAGCACACATCCACTTTCTCTCTGATGAGTAAAGGCACCAAACCCTTTGATTCATGGGATCTTGCTTATCACTACAGGGTGGGGTTACAGGTTCCCTGCATTACAGAAGAGACCATTTCACTGAGCCTTGTTTAGAATGTTTGGGTTTTCTACACCTCCACAACTAGAAAGCTCTTCAAATCCTTGTTCTCCACTTCTCTGCAGAAGCCATAAAAGAAAAAGAAGAAGAAATGGAGGAAGATGCTGGAGTGGCCCATGCATCAAATCTAATAATGAAAGGTAATATCAATCCCAAACTGTATACATATGCTATTTGTGATAAAGTGGATTTTAAAAGCCTTTATTGGCTGCAGGGTTAGGATAGCAGTCAAGAAGGTCATGCAGCAAGGCTGTCATTATCACTAACTTATGTCCTCAAGGCTCACATTTTTAAATGCTGCTAGTAATAACTTTACATTTATAAACACTTAAGATTTCAGAAACTATTAGCACAAAGAAGATTGATTAAGTTTGCAAGTTTACTGTGTTTTATAATTTATATAATACACATGATAACATAACATGGTATGAGTCACACATTCCTTGTGTTCATCAAACTGATTAACTCTTGGGGTTTATTGAGGAATTACACTTGTATATAAGGAGTAGTGATAGTCTTGATTGGCTGCTTTATCTTCAGAAGTTCTTGACAAACTAAGGAATAAAAACTTTTATTTTTATGATTGTTTTTATGTTGATGTTTTTATGCTTATGCCTTATATTAAGTGAAATATCAAACTACTGTTGTCGATATTTGGTTTGTATAGCACCAAGAAAAATAGCTCAAGGTCAAGATTCCCTTCCCACTGAGATTATAATTTAGTGAGTAGTGATATACAATAATCATGTAAGAAGGATATGCACTCAGATGTTTAACCAAGCACACCCCCACTGAGAAGATACGCTAGCATATAACTTAAAGCTGTGAAGGGAATCGTGCAAAACTGTTGAGCAAAACAGGAAGCCTGGATAGAAGTCCTGAGACAAGAATGACCTTGCCATGTCACAGGTCCATATGGAAGGCTAAGATCTGACTGTGAAGTAGGAAACTAGGAGTGAAATAAGTAAAGCTGTAGGTTCAGAGTCAGAGGTGAACAGCCTAGCAAATGTATTCAGTGCAAAAGGAGTGTTATGACAGGTGTGTGTGTGCGTGCGTGTGTGCCTGTGTGTGTGTGTGTGTGTGTGTGTGTTGCTTTAATTAGGAGTTGTCATTCCTGAAAAATTCAATCAAATGGTAGACCCAATGCTCATCCCAGTCATCCTCAGAAATTGACACCAATCACTGAAATGTGTTTCAAGCATTTGTGAATATTAACAAATGCTTTGTGTGTAAGCTGTTTGTTTCATCCCAGCTTGCGTACCATAAATCAGCAAAAAAATAAAAATTAAAGTGAGAGATATAATGAATAGATTTCTCTGACTGAGAATATAATTATCCCTTCTTGCTAAGATTTAAAACAGAAGGCCAGCGAAAGGTTTAAAGACAACTTTCAGTCCTCCAAGTCTCACCTTCCACTTGGCCTTTCTTTCCTTTCCTCCCTTTCCATCATATTTCATAGTGACACTTCCTACCCCTTTTACACCTTTGTTTTATTTTGTGTTCTATTTTAATATCTTTGAATATATTCACTTTCCTTTCATACTTTAAACTTCCCTTTTACATCCCTGTGTTAAAATTAGCATTGTTTGTGGAGTCAAACACATTTTTAAAAAAAATCAAGAAGAGAGAGGGGCAAGGAGACAGCACGTTTCTTCAGGTCAGACAAACGACACACATGTTTTCAGTCTCAGATCCTATCATGTCACCAGCGGAACATAACCCCCATCAGCAACAGTCTGTTCACTATAGCTATTTTTGTCAGCTTTGTTAAGATTTTGGAGGCATGAGGAGGGCACGTGATTAAATCACTCTGTGTCTGTTGACTGCAGATATATCCAGTGATGGAGACAGAACACGCTTGGCTCTCATCATCTGTAACAAAAAGTTTGACTACATTTTTGATCGAGATGATGCTGAGGTTGATATTTTGAACATGCAAGAGCTACTTCAAAGCCTTGGATACTCAGTGGTGATAAAGGAAAACCTTACAGATCAGGTAATGGCCCTAGAGAGCAGGCCAACCTTCCCTGAACTATTTTCAGTCCCTCCTTTGGTAACAACAAGAGCAAATATGTCAGAGTACAGGAATTACATCTGCTCCAGGATAGGATTTCCTGGGTTTCTACTGTCTCCAAAGTATAGTGTAAGAGACTATTTGCAGAATACCTGTGCAACGTTATCTCAACAAGATGGGGTCTTTCTTAAGAGTCGGTCTGACTGTTTCTATTACCTGCCATTCTAAGAGAGACAAGAATAAACACACGATACTTTAAAAATATAAGAACAAAATGTCTAATTATTAAGAGTTATATAAGCTTTTGTAGTCTCGGTTTTGTCTAAAGCAACCTGGGTAAATTTGGTTAAGAATGTAAAACTTAATAAAAAAGTGTAATTAAAAAAAAGAATGTGAAACTTGATGATTATTTTTTGGTACCAAGAAATTTCATATTTTTAATTTTTATCAACATATTTTTGTCTGTCCCTTCTTTCAATGAGAGTTTCCCAAAACCTAATTTTAATAGAGTTGGTTTTGATTATATTCCATCTCTCAGAGTCTTTAGAAATCCAAGATTCTCTTGAAATGCATACTATAAACTATGTAAAACAGAAAAATGTAGTTTTCTCTTACAACTCTGCACAAATCACTTAACTCTAGAAGTTATTATTTTCTGTGAATGTCCTCTGCTACTGAGAGTGACTCTAGACTCTTTTCCGGAAATGGAGACAGAATTAATGCAGTTTTCTGGCCGTCTAGAGCACCGGTCCTCTGACAGCACATTCCTGGTTTTCATGTCCCACGACATCCTGGAAGGAATCTGTGGGGTGAAGCACAGGGACAAAGAGCCAGATGTTCTTCATGATGACACCATTTTCACAATTTTCAACAACTCTAACTGCAGGAGCCTGAGAAACGAACCCAAGATACTCATCGTGCAGGCCTGCAGGGGCAGTGAGTTGGAATCGGGCTCCAGGGTGTGGTTCTGAACTTCCTTATGAGTCTGGCATATACATGTCAGGCTCCAGAATATAAAGAGGGGGACATTTTAGTATTAATGGTGCATTCTGTCCAAAAGAAACTACCTTATGTCCTATGTTTTAAAGTAATAACAAGTAGCCTAGAATAATAAGAAACATCTCATTGTCAACATTGTTGTTCTATACATGATGGGTATTGTATTGTCGTGGTCAATGGGAGTTTCTCTAATAGTTTGGTATTTTCTGGTCTGGGGAGATGACTCAGTGAGTAAAAGTGCTCACTGTGCAAGAACAAATCCCAAGAACCTATGTGAAAAGCCAGGCATAACATGTGATCACATATCCCCAGGACCACAGAAGACAGAGACAAGCATAGCATGTGATCATGTAACCCCAGGACCACAGCAGGTAGAGACAGGCATAGCATGTGATCATGTAACCCCAGGACCACAGCAGGTAGAGATAGGCATAGCATGTGATCATGTAATCCCAGGACCACAGGAGGTAGAGACAGGCAGATTACTGATGTTTGTTAGCTACCAGATTAGCTCCAAGTCCACAGTGAAATCCTGCCCAGAGAATAAGATGAAGAGTGAGAGAGCAAAACAACTGATACAATTCTTTTTGGCCTCTGAGTGTGCAGAGGATAACTTGCACCCATGTATGTACATGCACCCCACACACATACAATATGCACTCATAGATCTTGATATTTTCAATAAAATCATCATGCAGTGTACCAAATGAGAACATAACGGCGGCAGATGTACTTTGTCTCTGAGGAGTGTGTGTGTGTGTGTGTGTGTGTGTGTGTGTGTGTGTGTGCGTGCGTGCACAAACATGTGTCACTTTTGTTGAAGGAGTTCATTCTCTCCTAGGACACCATGAAATTGTTTGCATATCCACAAGCAAAGGGATAGCCACTGCTGACACATGTGAGGAGAGTGTGCTGAGCTATAATTGGAAGAGCAGCATGACAAAGGCCCATGTGGAGAAGGACTTCATTGCATTCAAATCTTCTACCTCACGTAAGTGACTCCAAATGTTCCGGATCCATTAGTAGTATTTTTATACAACACGCTTAGCTGAGCTAATATGCTTTCAGTGAACATTCTGTGTCTAATTATTGGGATATTTTCATTAGTGGAGATATTTAAAGTATTTGGATTTTCATAATTATATTTGCTTAGAAATTTTTAATATAAATAGGCTGTTTTGGGGAACCCAAAATTCAGATATTTTAACTATAAAAAGGGAATGATATTTCACTTTGACTTGTTCTTAAAATGTATCCATGGCACATCAATACAAAACATTTTCTGTCATTTCCCAAATCTCAACCAGTAAAAACTGCTAGGTCCACAGCACATACTCTAGTAACCTATTATTTTAATCTAATTTTTGGAAATGAGTAACTCTGAAATGTCTGCCTTCACATTAACATAGTCAACAAATGACCAATGACCTCCTTGGAACAGGGAAAGTATAATAAAGGTAACATACAGCCGAGAAAGAGAAACAGAACAATCCCAGTAGCTAACTGACAGTCAGTGTAGCTGAACACCCTTTTTATATAGTCATCTACAACAGGGTTCATGAAGGATTTAGAGAGTAAGGCATCTTGAGACAGTAAGTTTGCACAAACCATGCTTCCTTGCATTCACACTCTATGATTATAAGATCTAATGTATGTAGGAATCACTTGGAGATATTGATATACAGGTGTCAGCAACCTTTCTAATAAAATATGGTGATGTATCTGCTGCTAATCCGTGGCCATATGTGAGCTGACAGACATTAGCAGATTCTCCTAGTGTGTACCAGAGAATGAAGGCTGCACATACAGTGGCCACCCACAACTAGATAAGGCCTGCTTTTATTTGTTTTATGTATTGCAATTTTAATGAGATTTTATTTAAAAGAAAAATTCTATACTTTTAACTGACAAAAGAAAATAAAAATTAAATGGGATCTAAAACAGAAAAATTGTTTAATGGTGGAAATAAAATACGGTACACAAAATTATTTCATTAAGATTGTTTATTCCAAATCCTGTGTTAGAATTAGGCTAGTAAAAAACACATTTCCACAAGGAAATCACATGTGGACACTGATTTTGAGCTAACTCAAGCTTGTAAGACAGGCATTAACTGGGGCATGGGAGGGGGGAGGCATGGGCACATTGTAACAGAAACAATAGTGCCTTACATTAGATGCTATAGAAAATTATTAGGTTTAAGGACAAAGAGGTTATCCACCTCAAGAGAAAGAGAGGGGGACTTCTACATGGTATAAACACTGTCTATGGAGGCACTGAGATATGCAGAAACTTGGCAGAAAAGACAAGGTTTTCTAAACACAGAATCAAGAGAGACTGGAGCAGTGGTCAGATAAGGGCAGGTCTTAGACTATCTTCCACGGTGACACATTTGGTGAGTTTCCAGCAATGAAATGATGGAGATCTAACTCTGAAATGAATGAAATGCCGTACAGTGAGCGTGGATGCAGCAAGGAAGGTGAGATTGCAATTACAGATCTGTGGCCCAGAGGTGATGATGATAACGTGGGGTGAAGCGAGTCATTGGCCCAGCAATTAGTAATGCAATCAGCATGACCCTTGACCTAGGTGCTTTGATTGTGAAAAGATGGGGAATATGGAGGGGATACAGTGTCCAAGAAGATGATCATGGTGGATTTATTTAAAAGGATATCTTTACTTTTCCTAAACAGTGTACTATCTTGTTTCATACCATGCTATATTCTATTTAGCAGAAACCTATGTGGAAGGATGCACTGCAAATATTTTCTGGTATTTTACAAATTAAATTATTGACAAATGTGACTGTTTTAAAGGGGGGAAGGAATGCTGCAAGAAAGTTTGAGATGGCAATGGCATAGCTTGGGGTGAAATGATTAATAAAGATTTGAACTATTGTATATTTCTCCGAAGAGATCTGCCTGAAAAATTAAATCTGGGCATTTTCAGCTGTCAAAAATATTTTACAATCCTATCGATAAATAAAAGCAACAGGAAAGTGAAAATAGTGTTAGAAAATATCTTGGAGTAAGGATGAAAAACTCTTAGACATGAAGACTAAAGATGGAAAGACTAGTCAGTGTGCTTGATCATCAGGTCTCCAGGAGGAAAACCAGAATAGATTTCAGAGTTATCAGTAAGCCTATGTCAGAGCTGGAAACTTCTAATGTGAATGATGGACCAGGTGAGGACCAATCAATGAATTTCATTTAGTGATTTGGAAATCTTGGGTGACAACAGCAGGTCTGTTTTGTGGTATTGGTAGAAGATCTAGGAGGAAGAAGCAGATAGATGCTGGTTAAGTGGCAGCTGGAAAACTGTCACTCTCTTTTAAGAGCAGAAACTAAGAACAAATGGCAGGGAAATGGGCTTCTTAGGAGATTGTTCAAAGGATAGACGTGCAAAAATTCATAGCAGGAAGCAAGTTGGGTGAAGAGCAGGGATGTAAGGACTGATCAAGATGGGACTTATTCTCCACCTCAAGTTGGTGCTGGAAGGCTTCTCTTTCACAAGACTTGCATGCAGGAGGCTGTAACTTTGGCCTTGCCTATTTAAAAAAAACATGTGGTTTTATGATTCAGGGTCTGTGCAGCTTTGCTCTGTGTCTATTATGGAAGCCTAGTTGGCCTCCTGTCTTCTGTGAGGCACCAAGTTACACTTTGTTCCTAAACTGTGATGCCAGGGGTCCTCTGCTCCTCATCTTTCACCATACCCATGCTTTTATTTGCAGATAATATTTCTTGGAAGGTAAGCAAGAGTGGCTCTCTCTTCATTTCTAAACTCATCAAATGCTTCAAAAAGTAATCTTGGCATTATCATTTGGAGGAAATTTTTCGAGAGGTAGGGGTTTGGTTTTAATCTTTTATGTCCTTAAAAACTGTGAAGAGTCATATGCCAAGGGCCATAAATGGTTTTATTTTGATGCTACTTGGTACTTAAATTTATTTAAATATTTATTTAAATAAACATTTGGATTTATTTAAATAGATTATATTAGAGTTTATTTAAAGAACAATTTTCTAGAATACCACATAAAAGCAGTATTTGTTTTTCCAAAGCCCTTTGATTTGAACACCTTGCTTCATCACTTTTCATAACTTAATATGTCATTCTGTCAGCATGGTATCCAAGAAAAAGCTAAACAGTCCTTCGGATACATGGCTCAGTCACAGCCCTAACATATAGGGTCATTCCTTTCCCCTTTTGCTGTTAAAAGCAGCAAAAGGGGCTGGAGAGATGGCTCAGAGGTTAAGAGCACTGACTGCTCTTCCAGAGGTCCTGAGTTCAATCCCCAGCAACCACATGGTGGCTCACAACCATCTACAATTCAATCTGGTGCTCCCTTCTGGTATGTAGGCAGAACGCTGTATATGTAATAAATAAATCTTTAAAAAAAAAAGCAGCAAAAGATTTTCCCTTCTCAGGAGATTGATAAGGACTTGTTTCATCACTGCAGGTTCAACATTCATTTGAGGTTCCAGGTGAATTCACCCAGATGCCCACCATCGAGAGAGTATCTATGACACGATATTTCTACCTCTTCCCTGGGAATTAACACAGGTGGCACACTTGCAGGTACATGTATATGGGAAGTGAATTTGGAAACCCATTTACAGTCCATAGAAAAAAGTCTGCATATGATGGAAAATGGTGGTGACACACCAGCTTCCTATTAAGGAGCTTTCTTTAATGAAGCTGTGGTAATGCCTTAGTTTTATTTGGTTTCATCCAGCTATGGTATAATTATTGAGTAAGACGTTACTAGTCGTCTGGTAGCCAAGTGGATGGAAATGCACCCAGAATTAATGTTTTCTTTCTGGAACTCAATCAGTGAGGGAAAATATTGGGTTTGATGCATGTAAAGAATTCTGTAATTGGACACCATGTCCATGAATTATCTCTTATGAAGAAGCCTGTTTGATGAGCCTCATACTTTATGTTCATGATGAGGGCAGTGTGATTCACCATGTAGCCTGAGAAGGCTTTGTCAGAACTGTGCTGAGGTAACCAGTGTCTCCTAAGTCACCCCACTCCACCACCACCACCATCCCTGTGGGGGAGATCTTAAATACAGGTCACATTCTTTCTGTCAATATATTTCTAACTTCAAAGACCATTCTAGCTATATCTTAGAACTAGTACAGTGAAGGTCTATTCACGCTCCTCTCTACCATACCAAGTTTTTCTTTTAAGAGACCTGTTTTCCATCAAGAAGTTCAGAACCAAGCTTGATGTCTATTGACTTTCCACAAATGTCAGGACTAAAAATACAATCACAAGTGGACTTGTGAACAAATGAATCTGGAGAGACCATGCGGGTTTTTCATTTTATAAGAGTAAATCATGCTCATTGCAAAACAAATATAATAGATTTTTAAAAATAATAATCACTGCCAAAGTTTTTTGGAAAAGTATATTTATAAAAAACTTCACCTTTATTCAATTTTGCCAGTTATTGTGTTGTTATTACCTTTAATAATAGCAAAGAAATGTTTCTCACAGTTTTTATTATCATAATACCTGTCAAACATGCACAACCCATCATGGGCGTGTGTATATTACTAGTGCAGGATAGTTGCGAATAGATAGAAAATGACTCCTCTAATAGTAATAAACATCTAAGAGTAATGAAAAGTTGTGGAATTCACTGTCACATTATTAATCACTTGGCTTCTCCAACACCAGTTTCCAAGTGTGAAATGTTTATGCTAACACCTTCCTCCACAGGTGGATGTGTGCATGGCAGGCCTCTCCTGTATTGCCTAGCATGTGGACAATTGCTCACTGCATAAGTCATTAACATTGTCTGTACTGGTTTACCTCTCAGGGATGAGCCTCATGCCGTGCTGTGAATGATCCAATTAAAAAGTGGGCTATAGAACTACTAGAGAATTCTCAATAGAGGAGACTAAAATGGCTGAGAGACACTTGAAAAAGTGTGCAATATCCTTAGTCATCAGGTAAATGCAAATCAAAACAACTCTGAGATACCATCTCACTCCTGTCAGAATGGCTAAAATCAAAAACACTGAAGACAATTTATGATGGAGAGGATGTGGAGAGAGGGGAACACTCCTCCACTGCTGGTGGGAGTGCTGACTTGTGCAGCCACTTTGGAAATCAGTATGGAGATTCCTCAGGAAGATGGGTATCAGCAACCCAGCAATTCCACTCTTAGGCATATACCCAAAAGATGCCCCTTCATACAACAAGGGTGTCTGTTCCACTATGTTCATAGCAGCATTATTTGTAATAGCTAGATCCTGGAAGCAACTTAGATGCTCCACAACTGAAAAGTGGATAATGAAAATGTGGTACATTTACACAGTGGAGTACTACTCATTGGAAAAACACAACAGAATCTTGAAATTTGCAGGCAAATGGATGGCAATAGAAGAAACCATCCTGAGTGAGGTAACCCAGTCACAAAAAGACAAACATGGTATGTACTCACTCATATATGGATTTTAGACATGGATCTCGGGGAGTGTCAGCCTACATTCCCAGGGCCAGTGAGTCTGGAAAACAGGGAGGTTCCCAAGAGATATGCATTATACACCAGAGAAGTGGAACGAGGCAAGATCTCCTGAGCAGATTGGGAACATGGGGGGAGAAGACAGGGAACCAGGAAAAAGAGAGGTGTTAAGAGGAGGGTAGAAGAAGACATGGGGGACCAGGAAGGCTGAGTCGGGCTAAGAAGAGGGGAGACCAGGATGAGAGATACCAAAATAGTTGGAGTCATCATAGCTTTAAGGAGAGAGCTGACACTAGTGAGATTCCCAGAGATGTACAAGGATAACACCAACGGAAAACTAAGTAATAGCAGAGAGACTATATTAATAGCCCGTACATGATGATAAGGTTGGTGACTACCTTATGTGACATCCTAGAACCTTCATCCTGTGACTGATGGAAGCAGAGACAGATACTCACAACTAAACACTGAACTGACCCCCTGGAACCCAATAACAGTTGGAGAAGTGATGAGCAAGGCAGTCTAGATCATGCTGGTGAAACCCACAAAGACAGCTGACTGGACAAGGGGGAGCTCTTGAACCCCAGACTGATGAGTAAGAGGCCAACAGGGGACTGATCCAGACTCCATGAGTGTAGTATCAGTGAGGAGGCCTCAGAAATCTCTGGGGCTTTGAGTAGTAGACTAGTGTTCACCATGGCATACAAGTGAACTTTGGGAGCCCATTCCATATGGAGGGATGCTCTCTCAGTCTGGACACATGGGGAAGGCCCTAGGCCCTACCCTGGATGAAAAGACAGACTCTAAAGATCCCCCCAAGGAGGGCCTTACCCTCCCTGGGGAATGATGTGGGGATTGGGCTGGGGGTGGGGGTTGTAGGCATGGGGCTGGTGGAAGGAGAAGGGGGGAACCGTGATAGACATTTGAAGCATGCAAGTTTCTAATTTAAATAAAAAACATACAAAAATGTAAAAAATAATACAAAAGTAAAATCATACTATAGTTTGACTATATATGATGAACTAATATGTAGTATGTATGACATCAACTGCATTTATGTCACTTAGTAAAGAAGTAATGACATATGGATTATAAATTAGAAACCAATTAGATGGCAGATGGTGAATAAACAGAAAGTATTATGGGACAAAATATATTCCCTAATGACAAAAACAACCAATAGATCCACATTATGATGACACCTATTCTTTTAGAAAATATAATTTTTATATTTGAGTATATTTTGTTAACGATAAAACATAATTAAGTCATGGTTGCTGAGAGATGGAGAATAAAGTTTTCTTAAGAGATGAGCCATTTGATAGATTATCCAATCCCAAGTGGTCAACCTTAAACACATATGCATATAAGTAACACTACTAGATGAGTGATCAGAAATCCCAGAGAAAGGGAGGAGAAGAAAAACTGGAAATTTTGTCACCGCTTGGTTGAAAAATGCACCACCTATACTAGCTCACTGACGTCAAACATGTTACAACCCTGGAAAGCATATGATCAACCCAAGAAATGCAAATAGCGCCTAAAGTTCAACCATTATATAGTACAATACCTCTCTCTACACACTGCTGCTCTCCCCCTGACACAACAGCCATGTTTGTTATCTTCCTTTACACCCCTTAATTGTGGTCATCATAACTGAACCACTCTATGTGAAGACTGATATGTCAAAAAGGAAGCAGCGTTTGTCAGTGTGGTAAATTCTAGTACCATTATACTTCTCAATAACATTTCCTTGCCTAACTTAATTCTCTTTGCTTATTTCTCAGTATTTTATTCAATTGAATGGGCTATGGGATTTGGCCGTTTTGGTGTACTGTGAACATATTTCTGTTCCTTGGTGTCTGAGCTACTTTGCCAATTAGTGCTTACACAGATCAGAGGCAACACCCCACACAACTTTTTCACAGTTAGTTCTAGTAGCCTTCAGTATTAAATGGGGACTTGAAAAGAAGGCCAAACATTTTCAGTATGATAATGCCAAGGCTATTATCTTTTAAGTAAAGATAAAGTTAAATTAATAGAAAAAATTTACATTTCTTTATCAGATTCAACTATTTATTCTTTTAATAAAGTGTAGTATACTTGCAAATGTTAAGTTTGCATTTAAGTAATTTGAAAATAAATTCAACTTTAGTCTCTCTGGATGATGAAAAAGCAGCTTCTAACCAAAGAAGTTTTTAACAGAGTTATGCAAGCCTTGGACAAAGGTGAGCTGTCGCTAGTATCGAGTTAATGCAGGAGGTCCTGGATTTCAAGACTCAGAAAAAAAAAAAGAAATGGGGAAACTTGTTGCTGGCAGTAGTTGAGTTCTAGAAGTATTAGCTTCTGAGGATAAAGCAACACTGGATAACTAACTGAAAGATTCAGAACACTCATCCACACCTGGTAGAAGAGAAAAGGAAGATGACCTCTCTCTTCTGTCTGGTTTTTAGCTCTCTGTTTTCAGGACCATTCAATCATAGCCTCTAGACTGACATGACAATTCTAAGAAAACAACATTATAATTTTTAGTTAGTTTGGAACATAAAAATCAGAGTTATCCAAGGCCATATTCCCTAGAGGAGGACCTACTATATCATTTCACCAAATAGGCACAGTATTAAAATTCTTACATTTACACTCGCAAAAAGTGCAATACTCAATTCCCATCAAAGTATGTTTTTGCTGTAACTGGAAATTTGTAGAAGTTAACAGCTGGTCAACATATATAAATTCATAAACTTTGGGGGAATCATCCCTCAATGGAATGGAGCATCTGTAGCACAACCCCCCCCACCTTATTCACCACAGAAGAGGAGGCAGAATGGGTATCAGAGCCAGAGATGATGAAGAACCGGTGAAAACCTTGTGTTTAAAGACATGGGAAGGCCATCACAAACACGAACTTACAGTGGCGTGACTGCATGCACAAGACCACCACATGACTGAGGCAGCCAAAACCCCAGCAGGGGTGAGGCCGACTTACTGACTCCACTACCCCAGCAGGGGTGAGGCCGACTTTCTGACTCCACTACCCCAGCAGGGGTGAGGCCGACTTCCTGACTCCACTACCCCAGCAGGGGTGCTACAAATAATTGATGGCTGCTAGGGGAAGCAATGTCTAAGCTTTCTTCAGGTACCTAACTCCTGATAGGTTGTCAAAGCTCAAGGGATGGCAGCATAGAACCTATTTTATGTTTTGAAAACACACAGTAAATGAGGTGGGGAGGGAAAACTAATGGGAAGAATATTGGAGGAGTTGGGGGGAAAGTGATGAATCTGACCAAAAAGTTTATATGCATGTATGAAACTATCAAACAATATTTTTAAATAAACAAGGGTTCTGAGCTTCTGACCCACTATGAAACAGAGCTGGGATTTTTTAGAACATAGTTTAGTACAGATTTTATGCAGGGAGGTTGAGAGGATGGTAGTACTCAGAAAGAATGGGTGTAGGCTTCTCAAAAAGCTACCCTTCATTTCTTTCAATGTTGTCACACACAGTTTGGGAACTTTTGAAGTTATTACTTTCGAAGAGTTGAGGAAGTTAAATGACACCACAGGTGGTACCTGAGGGACATGGGACAGAATTACAATTGATAAGGCAGAGTCTGGATTTCAGACATTCTGGGTTCAGGAAGTTTAGGTGTCCCCACTGAAGACAAAGTTGAGGGTCTCTTTTTGAGGTTCTCAGAAAATATCATGGAGTGCAGTGAGACCTCTGTAACGTGAGAGACAGTGAGATGTCAAGCCAGCTATAAGATGTTTCTGCATTCTTAAAGGAAATACTTGTATCTTTGATAGCACATGCGTCTAATTATGCTGGAATTCTTGATTTTCAGCTGGCAAGAGGGTTTGTTCAAATTTCCTTCCCTTTCCTGTGCCTCCCAAGTTTCTTCTGCCTTATCCTTTCTTTCTACTTCCTTGTGTTCAGTTAATTTTCTGGAGCCTTCACAGTATTAATGGAAATACTGAATAACACAGGAATATTAATAATGGATACAGCTGAACATCCAAAGGGATGCTGGGCCAGACAATGTTTGG